TGGAGAGTAAAGTCACCGTTGACTTTGTTCTTCTTTAGAGATGTTGTTTGTGCACACGAGAACTGGGGTTGCGGCCAGAGGGGAGGGGTGTGGCCTGCTGGAGGTGGGGGGCGGGGCTGGGGGGGCCCCCTGCTATCGGCCTCCATGGTAAGGCTAGAGGAGCAGAGAGGTGACCAGAGGAAGCGCCTGACCTCGGGGGAGCCGGGGGACACGCGGCCACCCCGGCTCACGGGGGTCGGCAGTGTCCCAGGCACGGGTGGTCCTGGGGTCCTGGGGTTCAGCGACGGCGCCATCGGACGTCTGTGCCCCGGGGGCCGCTGAAGGGCGTCTCCGTCACACTGCAAGGGCACCCCGAGCCGGCCTGTCTGAGGGTAGGGGCTCCCGCTCGTCTCCGCTTAGGGTGCAGGGGCATGTGCGGCCGCCCAGGCTGAGTGTAGTCCCTGGGCTCTGTGCCTGCCTTTTGCAAACCCTGTCTTCTGCGCTTTCTGCTCCCGGCACAGGGGCGGCTCTCTCAGGCCTGTGGCCTCAGGCGGGCTTGCGGCAGTTTCCGCCAGGCAGATGGCGGCGCCCTGGCTGCAGGCCAGGCCCCGGGCCTGATGTCCGTCCTGTGGGGCTTGGTTTCCTGAGGCCTGGACCCTCACGCCCAGCACAGAGTGCAGGTTCTGGCCAGGCGGACCATCCTCCTGCAGACCGGCCCCGCCGGGCGCCAGGCGACCGCTGCGCAGCCCCGGGCAGGCGGCTGGTGTCGGGCCTCAGGGAAGAGCGGTGTTGTCGTTCTCCGGCGAGAAGACACTTCTCCTTGGACGTCTGCAGGCCGCCACGCTGGCTTCCTTCTCGGGGACTCGCGAGCCCCGGGGCTCCAGGAGGGGCCGCTGGCCAGCAGGGCCAAGACAGATGTCGTCCTGCAGTCCGGGACGCTCAGATGCTGCAGGCGGGACACCGGGGCACCTGTGGGCGGCGAGCGGGCGAGGCCCAGCCAGGGCTGCTGCCCCCCTCCTGGGGTGAGGGCTTGAGGGGCGCGCGGGCGGCAGCTGGGGGTGCCCGGGAGCCGCAACGGGTCTCTGCTGAGCAGGGCCCAGGGCCGCGCTGTGCCCAGTGGCCTCCACCCTCACAGCCGGCGTCTCCTTTCCCAAAGTCACTCAAGAAGCCTCTTTGGCCCGGGGCGCGGGTGTGGGGCGTGACGTGGGGTGCGGCGTGGGCACAGGCGTGGGGTGTGACGTGGAGCGTGGGCGTGGGGTGTGACGTGGGGCACGGTCGTGGGCGTGGGGCGTGACGTGAGGCATGCCGTGGGGCGCGGGCGTGGGCACAGGCGTGGGGCATGGGCGTGAGGTGTGACGTGGGGCATAGGCATGGGGCGTGACGTGGGGCGCGGGCATGGGGTGTGACGTGGGGCGCAGGTGTGGATGCGGGCTTGGGGCGTGACGTGAGGCGCGGGCGTGAGGCGCGGGCGTGTGGCGTGATATGGGGCGCGGGCGTGGGGCGTGATGTGGGGTGTAGGCGCGGGCTTAGGGTGTGACGGGCGTGGGTGTGGGGTGCGGGCATGGGGCGCGGGCGTGGGGCGTGATGTGGGGCGCGGGCATGGGTGTGGGCATGGGGCGGGATGCGGGGCACGGGCGTGGGGCGTGACGTGGGCGCGGGTGCGGGGTGCAGGCGTGAAGTCAGTGAACACTGTGAGGCCCCATTCCTGCGGTGCCCGCCAGCAGAGCTGCAGGGAGCACCCCGCACAGTGCGGCCCCCATAAGCACTTAAGGCCCAGTGCGTCTGGGGGTGCGTCTGGGATGAGTCTGGGGGATGCATCTGGGGGTGAGTCTGGGGGTGCGTCTGGGGGGTGCGTCTGGGGGTGTGTCTGGGTTGCCCAGAGAGTCGGGATCCGTGTGGCTGGCTGTTTCCCCTCCCCCCGTGGCGGCTCCCCCAGTCACGCCAAGCCACGTACCCGCGCCGTGCCCACGGTGAGGCTGCCGGCCAGCAACAGGCGCGGTGCGTCGCCACACAGGCGTGAGGCACTTGCGGGGTGTCGGAGCCTCTGCACTCGCCAGGGCTGTCCCGCTTCCAGGCTCCGCCCAGCCCGGCAGAGCTGTGCTGTCAGCACCTGCTGTGGGCCTTCTCCCGGCCACTCAAGGACAAGCTCACCTCCGGGGAGGCGACGTGGCGTTGTGCGTCTGCTGTTACTGTTTTCCTAGTTGTGGTAAAACACTCGTCAGAACCGACCAGCTCAGCTCGCGCCAGTACCCCGTTCCCAGGCTTTCTTAGCGCTCGTGCGGTCGCCACGATCGTGCCTTGAGCTTTCTTGCCGCCCCAGGTAGGACGTCTCCGTCCCGAGCCGTGCCTGCTGCTCCCGTCCCGCCCTCATGTGTGGCCCCGTCCTGTGTCCCGTCTCGGGCTCACCGCAGTGAGCAGTCTGGTGGATCTGCCTGCTGGCATCTGGCTTCCTGTGTAGCGTGACGCCTTCAAGGTGCGCTGTGCTGTAGCAGGTGTTGGGGCCGTGCTCCTTTTTCAGGGCTGCGTCGTGCTCCGGCACACAGGAAGCCACGGTTGCTTGTGCACCGACGTCGCTCGGGCTGTGCCTACTATCTGGATGCTGAGCACAGCGCTGCGGTGACGTGGGATGTTGGTATCCATTTGGTCCCTGCTTTCAACTTTTAAAAAAGGTGTATTTATTCATGCACACAGACCTGGGACTCAGGCCTAAGGAGCAGGGGTGAGAGGACTCCCCAGACAGTGGGGAGCAGAACGGGCGGATCCCCTGAGACACATGGCTGAGGGTGCAGCGGGTACAGGCGGTGTCTGTGGCGCCCTGGGGCCCCTCCCCGCCGGCTGGGGCTGGACTCAGGCTGCAGCGGCTGAGGCAGCCCCCCAGTGCTGCGCTGAACCCCGCGCCCCCACAGGGCCCCTCCCACGACAGCCGAGGCCCAGCCTCGGGCCACGCGACTGGTATGATTCTCTGTTCCCGACTATGAGCCTGGTGGGCGCGGACTGTGTCTGGCCGGGCTGGAGCCCGCGGCAGGTCCCGCCGGCCTCTCGCGGCTCCCTGAGGGCAGATCCGGTCTGCGCCCAGCAGACAGTGCCTGCCACAGACCGTCCCCTCCGTACCCCGCGTTTCTGCCCAGAGAGTGGGTGGCACCCTGGCCTCAGCCAGGGCATCCAGCGTGCGCTGGCCTGCCCCCCACCCCCCACAGCGTGACCCTTCATGACCGTGCCGGCGGTCAGCCTGGACTCGACCCCAGTGGTGCCTGGACCTCTGTAGGGCGGGTGGGTTTGCCGCGCCCGTGTGCCGGCAGCCGGAAGCCGCCGACAGCAGCCGTCCGTCTTCTTTCGGTCACTGACAACTGGCACCGTCCCGTCCCTGGCGCTGGCGACCGCCCCTCTGCCAGGGGAGTCTGCGGGGGGCCCGGCCTCGGTCTCCCATCGCCCCGGCGCCGTCCAGCCCCGGACACCCGAGTCCACCTCCCGCCCCGGCCTGGCCTGTTGCGGATGTTTCCTGTGAACAGCCACGCCCTCCCGGTCTGGCCTAGCCCGGTGTGGCGGGTTGTGTGGCCAGTGGCGGGGGCCGTGGGCGCACGGGGTGGCGCCCCTGGGGTGCGGGGTGCATGGGCGGCTGGGGGGGTGGCCTGTGGGTGCACGGGGTGCGTGGCAAGTGGCGGGGGGCCGTGGACATGGGGGATGGTGCCCCCAGGGGCGGGGTGCGTGGCCGGCACTGTCACCACCAGGTGCCTGGGAGTCGTGGCCAGGGGCGGCACCAGTCCGGACAGCGGCAGCCGCAGCTGGGCAGCCCTGGGCTAGGGCTCATCCTGGGAAACACGAGGAAGCCAGGTGTGTCCTGCCGGGGCCGCCCCGCCGCTGACCCCGTCCCCCCGCAGGTGCGGATGGGAGCGCTGGGCCTGCAGCGTGAGGCCGGCGCACCATGTCGTCGTGCGTCTCCGGC